AGAACCTTGACTGCACCCTAGAAGTGAAGAAGAGAGATAGCAACAGGCCATACACGGTGTCTACATCCAGGAAACAAATTTGAGGGTCTCTGGTGTTTTTTTTTTTAACATAGAATTCAATATTTAATATTGGGAATCACTTGTGAGAAAAGATCCAGGAGTCAAACATATTTTTGGTGCAGGAAAAGACCTAAATGTTGGTGTGGAGAGCTCTTCTACCACCACATTAAGGCTCTTATCCTCTACCTTCCAGTGGACTTTGAAGGTTTTCCTTCCTTCCTTTTCAGTCTGATATGGGGAACATGTTGTCCCATCAGGTTTGAGTCTTTTCCTCTGTGTATCTTTCTGCTTTCCCCCAGTCTCTTGTCATACTTCCCTTTATTATAAATTACCACATTCCCTATTTTCCATTATGAGCATCTGCTTTTTTGTGGGTGTTGTTACTATGAACAAGGAATTTGACTCAATACAATATCAATAAAAGAATGAGCACAAGTCAAATTCTAGAATGAAAAAATAACTGAATATAAATGATGCTCCTGGGCTGGGCCGTGGTGGCGCACACCTTTAATCCCAGCACTCGGGAGGCAGAGACAGGCGGATCTTTGTGAGTTCGAGGCCAGCCTGGTCTACAGAGTGAGATCCAGGAAAGGCACAAAGCTACACAGAGAAACCCTGTCTCAAAAAAAATGATGCTCCTAAAAAAATCTATACTTTCAAACCATTATGTATTCATCACAAACTCATTGTGAGAGTCTGATAATTTATAAAAAAGTTGCTGTCTAGTGTTTAAAGTGACTATCTGGTTGGATGCAGTTGGTACTGTTTTCAAAATATCATTTTGTTAAATAAGTCCTGGTCTGGGACGTTTGTTGTTTGTTGTGTATAAACCTTTGCATTGGCACCTTGAAGTCCCAGCTTATTCCTGCATACCAAGGTCAGCCTGTTCCATGCTGGAAACAACCAGAGGCAACGATTATAGCAGACATGGACCTTTGCCCTCCCTGACTGGTTCTGTGTGAGAAGGCTGGACACCACCAAACTATGATATATATTTACATTCTCACAATATAGGATATTTGTTTAGTCCTCAATTGATTATTGGAATATTTGAGATCCATGAAAAGGAGACCCCTATGCAGCCTAGCTGTTTTGTTAACGTCAAGTGTGAACACTCCATTTTCACGGTCCCTTGATCTTGTTAATTGTGTGAAACCGGTAGTGAGAACTTGGGGCTCTGAAGACACAAAGCCCAATGGAGAAAAAACCAGGACACTGTAAAGAAGGAGATGGTAAGCAAGAAGACTTAGCTGATCAATTCAGCACAGAGGTATAGAGAGCATGGATAGACCTCCAACAGTCCTTCATGGCTCCTAAGTCTCTTGACATGTTTCTGAGGTATTATCTTGATTAACGTGATTAACGTGGAAAGTCCCATTTTAACTGTGCTTGGGAATATTTTTGGGACAAGTTGGTACTGGTGTGTATAAAATGAAGAAAGCGAACCAAGCACCAACCTGTGTTCATTCATCCTTCTCTACATCTTGTATGTGGATATAACGCTTCTGGCTGCTTCCAGTTTCTGTTGCCTTGGTTTCTCTTCTTTATCCTGGATCTGTGAGCTATAAAAAACCTTTATCCTTTTAAGTTTCTTCCACTTCCCTAAGTATTTTATCATAGTAGCAGGAAAAGTAACGGAGAGAGGCCTCGTGATCCCTTCCTTTAACAATGTTCACATATTGACAACTCGGACTTAGGTCAGTCTTGTGTGGTAACCATAATTAGAGTTCATCAGTATGATCTGACATTCTGTTCAGGAGACAGTATTTCACAGCACTGCTCTTCATCCCTCCCCTTTCTTCTTCCATGTTCCCTGAACCACTGAGAGGAGGATGTAGATGTGCTGATTAGATCAAAGCACTGCACAGTCACTTATTCTCACGCTTCGACACACTTCTAGTTTGTGCTATCAGTTGACTGTTACCGAGTGTATACAGAAATGGGTGATTAACACTGAGACTGCTACTAATCTCTTCACATAAATATAACTAAGGCAGTTTGGTACCATGTGCATTTAGCCAAATAAGAGTAGCAGATATGTCTCTAGGGCCTGTAATGTGTCCTGAAGTGAATTTTTACCCATTTTTTTAAAATAGTACCATGCATGGATGCTCTCTTGTCGAACACACATCATGTACCAAAGAAAGCAGTTAGCTCTTCCCTTAACAGTCATGCACAAGTAGGCAGATGGAGCCTTTCTGGCAGGTATATAGGACATAGGCTTCATAGCTAGGTAGGACCATTGGCAACTTTCCTCCCTTAAAAGCCTACACAGCACATTCCAGATTATGAAGCTAGTGAAAAGGAGAAAAATTTCAGGCCATTTTCAGCTTGATTTCTCCATATTACACACCCAAAGTTTATGATATCTTCATCAATTGGGTCTAATTATTTGATGGGAAACCAAAACTGATTACAATACCCTGTATTCTTTTTTTTTTTAGTTAAGAGATTTTCTATTTGTTTTTCATATCAGCCATGGATTCCCCTGTCCTTCCTCCTCCCACCCCCCAGTCTCCCCGCCCATCCGATCCCCCCATTCCCACCTCCTGCAAGGCAAGATCTCCCTTGGGGAGTCAGCAGAGCCTGGTACATTCAGTTGAGGCAGGTCCAAGGCCCTCCTCCCTGCACCAAAGCTGAGCAAAGTGTCTCAGCATAGACACTAGATTCCAAAAATCTGGCGCATGCACCAAGGACAAGTCCTTGTCTCACTGCCTGGGGGCCTCCTAAACAGTTCAAGCTAAATAGCTGTCTCACTTATCCAGAGGGCCTAGTCCAGTTCCATGGGGGCTCCTCAGCTACTGGTTCACAGTTCATGTGTTTCCACTAGCTTGGCTAGTTGTCCTTGTACTTTTACCAATCAAGATCTCAATATCTCTCACTCATATATAATCCCTCCCCTAATTGGGCTCCTGGAGCTCCGGCTGGAGCTTGGCGGTGGATCTCTGCATCTGCTTCTATCAGTCACTGGATGAGAGTTCTATCATGACAGTTAGGGTGTTTGGCCATGCAATCACCAGAGTAGGTCAGCTCAGGCACCCTCTCGACCATTGCCAGTAGTCTATAGTGGAGTCATCTTTGTGGATTTCTGGGGACCTCTTTAGCACTCTGCTTCTTCCTATTCCCATGGAGTCTTCATTTATCATAATACACTGTGTTCTTATGGTGAATGCTTCTGGGTTCTCCTTGACTGACAACTCTGACTCAGAAATACCTGGCCCTGAAATTTTGTAAAATAACCTGTTGCTTCTGGGCATTACCCATCTATGTTGGGTGCTTCTATTACAACTCTTTTTAAATCCTATTTTTAATTAGATTATAAATTATGATGTTTCTGTACAGCTTTTTCACTGATCCTTAGTTTTCTTAACCCACTTTATTGACTGTTTCTTACTTTGAAAATTGAAACCCAGATTTTAAAACTCCTCCAGCTCATCAGACTGGTAGATTCCTACAGTAGCCCAGCAAGAAAGGGCATTAACATAATCCTACCCTAGGGCAGGAACAAAGAGTTTATCTTCTGCTGTGGTTTATAAATTTTAAGTGTTGTATTGTCTTACATGGAAGCTAGTGACATTCCTGCAGTAAACATCAGTGCCTGGAATGTTGAGACAGAATCTGCAGTGCCAGATGAGGAGCTGTGCTCAGGAGAGAAGGATTTATGAGGAAGAATTGGTGAGGTTTAGATGAAGAAGGGCAATAAGGAGGGGAAGACTTTTCTAGCAATGAGGAAGTCAGATAAACAAAATTACAGGAAACTAAAGCACAACCCAGGCCATAATGGGAGTGAGCTTCCTTCATTGTGTCTACTAGGTCTCGTCAACATTTCCGGAAACCTCCGTCTCCTGTGATCTTCTGTCTTGTAACGATCCTATTCACTCCTTAGTCAACCCAGAAAGAGTGTGGTCTCCTTTAGCTCTTACTTCCCCACTATTACTTCTTCTATCAACTCGAAAAAATTCTGTCTTGAGATGTTCCTGTTGCTGTCCCCTGGCTGTGCTACCTGGAAAGGATACCCTGCAACCTGTCGAGCAACCTACAGGTTGCTCAGGGTACTCCAGAATTCTAGTTATTGTGAGTTGTCACCCATTCTGGCATTTTATTTAGTGATTCAGCTGCCTTTTAGTTCTTTTTATTCCTGTAAATAACTCCTTACTTTGATGTTCTCCTCACTTTCATCTATCATATGTTCTCTATCTAGCATGAATAGATGTTTGTTCACAGCCCCCAGGAATAGTTTCATACAACAGGCTTCCCTGTTAAGGTTCACATGCTGAAGTCTGGACTTCAAATGTGGGTGTGTGTGGTGGGAAGACCTCTAAGGCCATGCCTAAGTCAAGAAACTCCTATACATATGAGTATCAACCTTCAAAGTTAATACTGTATTTCCCTGGGATCGTGATGAAATCTTACTGGAGTATATCGGTACACAATTCAATGCCCACAATATGGTTTTTCTTTTTGTACCTGGACACTTCCTTTTAGTTCCTCTAGCATTTAGTGATACAGCAAACAGCATTCTCATCAGAGGATGAGCAGATTGATTTATATTGGACTTATATCTTCCAAAATTATCAGCTAAGTTAACCACATTTCTTTATAATGAAACAGTATCAATTGTCATGTTACAGAAGGAGAAAGCAAATTGATACTTATTGAAGGTGAAAATGAAGCTTAAGACTGGTATTTTCATGATCACTTAGTAGAATTAGTGATGGAGATAATACTTTTTAAAAAATTATGTGCATTAATTTTTTTTAAAAAAGATTTATCTATTTATTATTTATACAGTGTTCTGTCTGCATGTATGCCTGCAGGCCAGAAGAAGGCACCAGATCTCACTATAGATGGTTGTGAGCCACCCTGTGGGTGCTGGGAATTGAACTCAGGACCTCTGGAAGAACAGCCAGTGCTCTTAACCTCCAAGCCATCTCTCCAGCCCAGAGATAACACTTTTGAGTATCTGCCTGGGCTACTGGCAGCTCTTCTGCCAGGGGTGGGTACAGTGTGACTTTCAAACCAATACTGACACCTACACATGAAGCAACTTGCCTGTGGATAAAAATATGAATTAATTTATTTTAGTTTCACTGGGGCCATAAGGCTGTAAGATGAACTATCCCAGGATCTATTTTTGGACAGAGCACAGGGCATACACAGGTACCAACACTCTCTTGCAGCCCTGATCCTACCACACACCACCAAGGAGGAATTCTTCCTGCACAAGGGTAGGTCCAGGGACTGCACAGTTGTTTGCCTCCTTTCTTAAACATGTAACCATCTGCATTTGGGGAACTTCAGTTTTCAGTTCTGTTTTTCAGCTCATGGGTTTCATGATCTTTACAGTCAGACCTAGTGAATGAACCATCTGCAAAACAGTAGAGCAGACAGGGGCCCTTTAATCATAACATTTACATGACCCAAACCGCCTTGAATCCCAACTACAGTATAATACAGTCTAAAAAAAGATAACCAGTCTTTGAACCTTCAGGTCAGAAACACTCATAAACCCATGGATATGTTGAAAATGATGCTGATGTTAGACTATCGGAATCAGGCTGACACGCATAGTTGAGATGCTATCAACATTTAAGTTGGGGTGGACGTTTGTGGATGAACAGGCATTAAACCAAATCAGCCTTAGCCAGGCGGTGGTGGTGCACGCCTTTAATCCCAGCACTCAGGAGGCAGAGGCAGGTGGATCTCTGTGAGTTCAAGGCCAGCCTGGTCTACAAAGCGAGTTCCAGGAAAGGTGCCAAAGCTATAGAGAGAAACCCTGTCTCGAAAAACCAAAAACCAAAAACCAAAAAACACTCCCCCGAAAAAACAGCCTTTACAAATACTGGAAGGATTCTGAACAATGAAATAGGAACACCAAAGACGTAAGACAGCTGAGAGGTTGTTTCTCATGTATGTTGGTAAGAAAAGGGTAACACATGTATAGGAGATTGTTGAGCAAAATAACATCAAATCAAGAACCATGAGAATACTGTATTTTCTTCTCTGTCTCCCTGCAAGTCTCCTCTGTATTCACCCAGGAGAACTGAAGGATCAGGTGCTTAGTCTACCCCTTCTGGTCTGTATCCTTCCAGCAGCATCAATCTGCATTTACCTTTGGTAGAACACTGCTCTCCAGGCATGGCAATATTCTTGTCCTATTGAAGTCTCTGTAGCTCTGATAACACATAGGTGACCTGCACAATATTGAGCCCATAAGTATACCTTCATGGTGTAGAAGTTCCTGAGGCTCCTTTTCCATCAGAACTATAGGCAATTAAAAGTTGCAGGCAAAGCTTTTTTTCAGGGATACGACCACTGAAAAGTTCCCAATATTGCTGGGCATAGTGAAGCACACTCTTCTCAAAAGCTGAGTGTGAGACTTGTTGCTGGATCTCATCTGTTCTACATAGTGAGTTTCAGCATGGCCAGAGCTACATAGTAAAACCCCATCTCAATAAACACACCAAAAAAAAAATCTAAACAGATTGACCACGTGCTTCTACGTGCTTCTAAGGAACCTCAATATAACTCATTGGTTCATCAGCTATATTTGTGTGGAGTCTTTTCTTTGTTTCTGTCATAGGTGTCTCATCTGGGGTGAATAGGCATTGATCATATATCCCCAGAAAAAGTTCATACAGTATCTCCAAAGCTTCTCCTGGGCAGGGTAAGAAACTTGTAATGAGGTTGGTCTGGCTGATTGAGTGATGGAGAACCACAAAGAAACTCTGAGAGCAGTGAGCCCCCTCATGAGCCCCTGGCTCATGAAGACACCAGGTTTATTTCATTTTAAGTCCTGGTTCATGGTGACTTCAAGCATTCAGGCAGAAGTGGATGGTAACAATGGAGATGTTCTGCAGGAAAAGACCACAATCAGACTTGGACTTGTAATCCCAGCCACCAGGAAGCTGAGGAGGATGAGTCTGAAACCTGCATGAGATTCAAGAGATTCTGGCTCAGAAACAAAAACAAAAACTAAAGAACCAGGAAGAGACAAGTCACATATCCTGTAGCCCAACCCACCACAGCACTGGGGAAGTAAGGGTCAGGTGCCTGGAAAGAGTAGTTCCTCTTCTTCCGGGGTGCTAGTATTACATCCTCATGACAGGAAGGAGAAGACAGCCTGCATAGAACACCAACTTGGTTTCTTTCCGTTTGGCAAAGAGACCAGCTATCTGCAAACTTGTGACAATTGGAAGATGCCATGACCATCTTTCTCACGGTCCTGCTGCATGTTGGTGAGATTCTAAGATGGGGAGGGAGAATTCTTGTCTGAAAGGCAATCCACCTCACAGCCATGCCTTGGCCCATCAGGAAGTCTCAGCAGCTTAGATGGCATTGGGAAGTGGAGGGCCTGCTCATATTTCTGTGTAAAAACAGGTGATTCTCTTTCAGGGCTGTGTCTGGTCCTCAGGATCCCTGCACTGGCAGGTAAGTGTCTTCTCACCTGTACCAAATTGGGTATCCTTTGTGGAGACTAATGGTCACTCTTGAACAGAGTAGAGCGAGAACAGGAGGTGTGGGGTGATGCTGGGGATGCCTGAAGAGGTCTTGTATCTGGCAGCTTGTATCTGAGGGAGAGTTCTGAGGAACCACCTATCAATTTTCTTGCAGGGGTCTTCTCTAAACCTACACTTAGAGCAGTTCCAAGAAATGTGGTAACCATTGGAAACCAGGTGACATTCGTCTGTCAAGGGCCCTTAGAGGCCAAGGAATATCATCTCTGCAAAGAAGGAAGTTCAGAATGCTTGGCACCAACAACCCTTATAGAAACTGAGAACGTGACCGAATTCCTTATCTCGTCAGTTGAGTGGAACAATGCAGGCCTATATAGGTGTGAATATAAAAGGCCCAATGGCAAAACAGAACACAGTGACTACATGGAGCTGGTGGTGACAGGTAAGAGGATCCCTCTACAACCCCAGCATCTGCCTTGAGGAAAGGAGTATGTTCACAGTAGGGTCCCCTTTTTTAAATATGTGAAGAGGGGAAAATGCTTCTCATACGGGTCATATGGGGATATGAGGATATGGTAAACATTACTGAAATTAATAAATAGAGGCCTTTGTCTGTGGTCAGATAGTTGTCAGGAAGTGGATCTGGAAACTGTTTTTATGATGAGTTCATCTGAAGGCCTGTTTAAACACACTACACATTCATGTATGTTTCTTGCCTTCTTCTCTCTTAGGAGTTCACAACAGCAGTGTGACCCTGTCAGCCCTTCCCAGCCCAGTGGTGACCACAGGAGGAAATGTGACCCTTAAATGTGTGTCACAACATGAATATAACATGTTTATTCTGATGAAGGAAGATGAGAGGTTCTCCCTGACTTTGTGCTCACAGAATATACTCACAGAATTTGGAGCCCTGTTCACAGTGGGTCCTGTGACCCCCAAGCAGAGGTGGAGGTTCACATGCTATGGGTATTACAATAGCAGCTCCCAGATGTGGTCAGTGCCCAGTAGTGTCTTAGAGCTTCTGGTCTCAGGTAAGGAAATGCAGGACTTCCCTTTGATGGATATTATAACTGATGCAGGATCCCACGAAAGGACCTGGTATGTGGTGGGTGAATGAGAGCCAAGACTACTGAACCCAATGTCATAAAATGTGTGATACAGCTAGACATGAGGTGTGGAAACCAGGATTGACAGTAACAATATAACCTAAGATCCAGAGAAAAGTGTGATCTTTAAGTGTCCTTTTGGTATTGCAGATCAGATTACATGTCCCTGCAAAGATGACCTCTGTGATAGTCTCCTAACAGATGCTCCTCCCCCCCCTACTTCTTTGCAGGGACCATTCACAAACCCACCATCTGGGCTCATCCTGGCTCTGTGATCACCTCAAGGAGTCCTGTTACCATCTGGTGTCAGGCGACCCAAGAAACCCTCATCTATGTGATATATAAAGAGGGAAGCCCGGGACCCTGGGACCAACAAGCCCCAATACCCCACAACAATAAGGCAAAACTCACCATTCCATCTGTGACACAAGTGCAGGCAGGCCGGTATCACTGTTACACCTACACCTCTGCGGGATGGTCACAGCGCAGTGACCACTTAGAGCTGGTGGTGACAGGTGAGAAGACACCAGAAATCTTAACCCCAGATGTCACTCTCAAGAAAAGACTGCACTAACACTACCTCCCATCAAAGGACAGCCTTGGGGACAATTCAGGCTTTGTGATCCTCTTTAATTTTCCATGTGTATTTCTTCTAGGAGTCTACAACAAACCCACCCTGTCAGCCATGCAAAATCCTGTTGTAAACGTAACAGGGTCTGTGACCCTCTCTTGTACCTCAAGCCAGAGATATGACTGGTTCATTTTAACTAAGAATGGTCAGAAGTTCTCCATCCCTCAGAGCTCAAGACACACACACACTGGGATGTTTCTGGCTGAGTTTCCAGTGGGTCCAGTGACATCTACCCAGAGGTGGAGGTTCAGATGCTATGGCTATTACACAAATAACTCTCAGGTGTGGTCAGAAGGGAGCAAGGTCCTGGAGCTGCTGGTCTCAGGTGAGGAAGCCTCAGACTCTCTGTGGAATCACATTGCACCTGACACAGGTTCCCCATCGAGACCATAAAGTGTGATACGTCTGAGCATCCAGGGCTCCTGAGATAATTGACACAGCATGCAGACTGTGGGAGTCACTGTGCTGCCTGAGGGGAGGGCATAGTGAGATGAGATCTTGAGAGGCTCATGAGGCTGAGTCTTCCCATGACATTACTGGTCCTTTTGTTATTTAGGAGTACATTTCAAGATCAGTAGCATGTTTGACTTATTGTGAAACTACTCAAAGTCCCACCTCTTCCTCTCCTTCTTTCTTATAGGAAACCTCAAGAAACCCACCCTCTGGGCTGAACCAGGCTCTGTCATCAGCACAGGGAATCCCGTGACCATCTGGTGTGAGGGGACCAACGAAACCCAAATATATTTCCTGTATAAAGAAGGAAGTCCAGCACCCTGGTTCCATCAAACTCCAAAAGGTCCTGGCAAAAAGGTCATGTTCTCCATAACATCCATGGAAAAGCATCATGCAGGGCAATATCGCTGTTACTCTTATGAATCTACAGGGTGGACAGAGCACAGTGACTCCCTGGAGCTGGTGGTGACAGGTGAGAGGACACTGTCACGATCTTTGCCTCTGTCCACAGGAAATAGTCTCCCACAGGTGTGCTTCCATAGCCCATCTGCTGGAGTCAGTGTTGGCTGTGTTATAGACTGCCTGCTCCTCTCCTAGGTGTTTACCATGGCAAACCTACTCTGTCAGCTTTGCCCAGCCCTGTGGTGACCTCAGGTGGGAATGTGACCCTTCAGTGTGTCTCATTCAAAGGATATGATGGGTTCATTTTGACTGGTGCAGATCTGAAGTTCTCCAGGTTCCAAAAGGCACAGTTATTACACACTGGACAGTCCCAGGCTCTGTTTCCTCTGATCCTTGTGACATCCAGCACACATGGGCCCTTTCAATGTTATGGAAACTATACAAATACCACAAATGTGTGGTCAGAGGCCAGTAACCTTCTGGAGATACACGTCTCAGGTGAGAAAGTCTCCACGTTCCCGCAACCAAGTGACACTGGAAACTCTTTGTTATTAGCGCAGCTGCCTCAAGTTGGGATTGAGGCCATGATGGCTGAAGGGAACTCTTGATTCCTAAGATCCAGAGTAGAAAAGGCCACGGCACTTTCAAAGTAGGATGGGATATTGAATGTAACAAGAGTCAGGTGGATGACTTCCTGACTCTCTTCCTTCCAGGGCTGTCAAGGAAGCCCACTTTGCTGACCCAAAAAGTCCCTGTCCTGGCCCCTGGAGAGAACCTGACACTCCAGTGTTCCTCTGAGATAAGTTATGACAGATTTGCTCTGTTCAAAGAGGGAGGAAGTGACCTCACTCAAGTTTATGTTCATCAGCCCCAGGCTGGACATTTTCAAGCCAGCTTCACCTTAGCCTCAGTGAATTTCTCTATTGGTGGTCGATACAGATGCCTTGGTGCACAGAGCTTCTCCTCTGAGTGGTCAGCCCCCAGTGACCCTCTAGACATCATGATCACAGGTGAGCAATGTACTGCATTTAGTCTTTGCACAGACTCAGCTGGGTGGAGACCTGGGATTCATCAAGATGATGGTGAGCATGTCAGGGATGAATAGGTCTAAGAACAAGACAGTGGAGAAAGGACTGTCTTTTAGAATATAGAGACTAGATTCTGAAAGAGGGGTGGGGGCTTAAAGCAATGACTGTAGTCCTTCAGTCACTTTATTCTTTTGTCTTTAGGATACCTCCCTGTCACACCCAATATCTCAGTGCATCCAGGCACTACTGTGTCCTCAGGAGAGAATGTGACCCTGCTGTGTCAATCATCAGACCCAGTGGACACATTCTTTCTGATCAAGGAAGGTGCAGCCCATCCCTACATGCAACAAAGAACAAAGTCTCAAGATCTACAATATGAGGCAGAATTCTCCATGAGTGCTATGACCTCAGCCGTTGGGGGCTCTTACATATGTTTCGGTTCTAACAGCTCATTCCCTTACCTGTTGTCATACTCCAGTGTTCCTGTGGAGATCATAGTCTCAGGTGAGGTGATCCTGACTTTTGTTAGCTCAGAGGGTTACTCAGGATAATTGAACTCGCAAACTTGTGGCTGGGATAGGAGTAAGTTCATCCAAGGGAGGGTTATGAAAAGAGGGTCTCCTATGCAGAGACTTAGAAATGAACTGAGATTTCTCAATGACCATCTCACTCTCTTATTGGGAACCTAGGAGATTCCAGGTAGGAAGCTGGGAGGTTCTGAAGAGGCTGCAGTGTAGACATGAGACTGAGAAGATATGAGATAGTTAGTGCAGGCTTCCACACATCATTCCCCCAAAAAATTTCCCACAGTCTCCTAGGGTCCAAAAATCCATTTCTATAGATGTTTTAGATTTTTTTTAATCTAGAAAAGTTGTTTCACCCTGAGTGTGTGCAGAGTCTCTGTCCCTATGAGCTACATTCCTTTATCAGCTTGGCTGATGACTAAGCTACTAGATGTGAAGCAGAGACCCCAACATGGTCTCCAGAAACCCAGAGGCTCAGAAGCTAGGCTGCAGTGGAGGCATCCTGACGAAGAGTGGTCCTGTTGATCTGTCCTAGGCTGAAACACATAAAATGAGATGAGGTGTCAATTGCCCCGATTTTCACCCTCCAAGTGTGTCAGGCCATGAAAAACAGCTCTTCATCCCTGTTGTATCTGAAGCAGACGTCTAAGCAAGAACTCTATCGCAGGGTGGGTCCAGAAGGGATAAAGCTAATTATGTGCTTGGTACATTCTTGTCTGGAGAGGTTGACATGCACTACCCTCTGTCTTGTGTGGTTCTTAGTTTCTCCACGTGTAAATAGAGAAGCCCTGGCAAAGACATTAAGTTCCTTTTAATGATGATCTCATCTGTTTCACATACTTATAGAGAAAGATTCTAGAACTCTGTTCCACAGTGGTTCTGCCCCATCTACCACTGTGTTGAAGACATTGTGTTGGGGTGTGGTACAGGGCTAGGACAGGACATTCAGGATCTTTCCTTCCTGTTCATGAGGTTTAGCTCTGGTGTACAGAACAAAGTGGGAGGACAGATATCCTGGACTCAGTCCTCAGCTGTGCACCATCCTTCAGGCTGATCTAGGGCAGGAAAACTGAAAGTCTTCAGAGATGGTCATGTGTTGCATGGCTATGAGAATGAGATACAGCAAATACAAAGACCCAACACTGGGGTACTCGCACAGTAGGTTCTTTTTTCTACCATCTTTCTTTCTTTCTTTCTCTTTCTCTTTCTTTCTTTCTCTTTCTCTTTCTCTCTCTCTTTCTTTCTATCTATCTATCATCTATCTATCTATCTATCTATCTATCTATCTATCTATCTATCTATCTATCTATCTCTCTATTGCTCATTCATACAATGCATCCCAATTGCAGCTTCCCCTCCCTCGACTCATTCATGTCCACTCTGCTTCAGATTCACTACCCCTGCACCAGAAAAGAGCAGGCCACTGAGGGGCATCAATTGAACATGGCACAATATGATACCGTAACATCAGACATAGACAGTCACATCAAGGCTGGGTGAGGTCACCCAACAGAAAGAAGAGCATCCTAAAGGCAGGCAAATGTGTCAGATACACTTTCATCACTACTGTCGGAAATCACCACAAACACCAAACCAACAACCATAATATAGATGCAGGGGACCTAGTGCAGCTCCATGCAGACTCTGATTGCTTCTTTATTCTCACACAGTAGATTCTCATTTACAGTTCCTCATTCATGATGTCCCTTGTCCCCTAGGACTGGTAAGCTATCAAAAGACCGTGATCGGAGTTTCTGTGGCCTTCTTCCTACTGCTCTTCCTCCTCACCATCTCCCTTCTGCTCACACTCAGGCATCAGAAGAAAAACAGAAAGGGAGGTGAGTAGGATGTGGGAAGCCTGGGTCTCAGTGGGGAGTGGGTCCCACTCTGGGCTATCCAAGCAGGGGCTCAGGGCACCAGCCTCACTGAAAGCCCAGACTGGGACAGCTTAGACTAGCTTAGAAACATGTCTGCACAATCTGAACACAAAATGTTCTCTGGAAACATGTGTAATATCCTGTATTGTATAGACTTTATCAACTCCTGAAAGATTTTTAGCATATGTGCAATGAGTTGCAAAGGTGCCTTCTAGTCCTCAAGGTGCTAGGTAAGGGGCTCCACAGCCCCTTGGCTGAGGCTCCTTCCTCTCTTGCAGTTCAGGCAAAGACCGACTTGCAGCCTCCTGCAGATTCAGTAAACAGGGACAAAAGACTGCAGAACAGGTAACTCATGCCCAGGACCATAGACCACATCTGCCCAACTTCCTTCACTGACATTTGTCTTCTTGTTTCTTCCAGCTCCAGCCCAACTCCTGCCACCCAGGAAGAAATACTGTGTGAGAAAATGAGGGCCCAGGAGGGAGATGTCTGACATTATAGCATAACAGGGCTGGTGGAGGGTCTGGGATGCTGAACCCCTTCTATGTACCCTCACCCCACTACAAATTATCTTTCCATATTTGGGATATAGCAGGAGTCTGGGGAAATGAGATGTCCTGGGAATCTGGCCAGGGGAAGACCTGCATGTTTTGTTATGACAGATGCTAATGTGAAGGTCACACAGCCTGCAACCAGCATGGAGCTGGATGTCCTGGTGAGACTCTTGATTATCCAAAATGCTAAGAACTTATGATCCAATATAATGCCAAAGCAATCTCTGTTCTCCCCCTTTTCAGACCTTCGTATCATCCATAGCTGGCTCCTTGTTTCTTGAAGCACCTATATTGTGTATGCTATGGTCTCATTCTTTGTTTACTTTTGACAATATGGCCCCAACTTTCTGACTTCTCAACATCTGTCTGATTTCTAGAATGATTTTAAGGGCTCAGAAGAGAATATGAGGGTCATAAGTTGTAGCTGAATGGTAAAGTGATTACTTTAGATGTCTAAGGCCTTGGGTTTAAACTCTAGTGATAAAACTAACAAGTAAATGAACAGGCAACACACATAAGTGAGAATCATGTGCCTGAGAATGTGTGCACATGTGCTTAAGCACAAGCAGAAGACAGGGGTCAACATCTGATGTCTTCTATTTTTCCCCAACTCATTTTCTCTGATAGGCTCTTTTCATTTCCATGGTGCTATTTATTTGGGTGGATTGGTGCCACTGAGCACTGGGCATCAGTTGCTCCCTCATCATCACTTAGGTCCCAGGCATGTGAATTACTGCTTGGCCTTTTTTTATGCAGCCACAGGGGGTCAAACTCAGGTGCTCATGTTTGCATAGCAACCACTCTGCTGCTTGACTCTCTCCCCAGCTCCCATGTCTCCCTCTTGACCATGCTTCTGTAAGGGCTGCAGATATAGCCAGGGACAGAACTCTCTACCCATTGTGACCAGCTCAGATGGGAAATGATATGGAAATAAACTGAGACTGAGCAGTGCAAAGTGTATGAGGGAAATATATTAGAGGATATGGGTTGAGTTATGTGAGGCAGAGATGATCAGTGTGAATTTAAAGGGAATTTGTAAGAAGCCTTCTGTGGAGAAGCCTGGGTAGAGTTTCATACAAACCTGTGATGACATGGCATATATGGGTATGGAGCATGGTAGATCCAAGTGTCCTTGGGGTAGGGACATTCTCTTTCCAAAAGAGGGAGGCAGTGGAGAGGACATCAGTGTGTCAGGATAATATTTCAGAAGCACAGAGAAGTAAATGGCAGGCACTCAAAGTCCCTAGAAAGTCCCAGATGACCCCATCAGCAACAGTTTAGTTTGATAAAAATGTCTGAAGTATCATTCTTGCTCCCTGTGGAAGAATGGGTGGAGAGCCTCTGGGACACCAGGCCAACTCCCTTTGTTACATTGTCTCTCTGCTGCAGAGACAACATGAGGAAGTTCCCTCCAAAGACTTGTATGCCCAGGTGAAGCCCTCGAGACTCAGAAGGACAGAGATCACCTCTTCTTCTCTCATGCCAAAGGAATTATTGGCCTCAAATGACACACAGTCAAAAGGAAATCAAGTGATAGATGAGCAGGTGGGTCCTGACTTCTCTAGTGCCCCATGCTCCCGGTGCCCAACATAGACCTTCTTCTATACTTTCCCACTGCAGGCAGCTACAACAGAGGAGCCACATGATGTGACCTATGCCCAGCTCTGCATTGTGACCTCGAGACAGGGACATGTGAACCTCCCTTCTTCCAGGCAGAAAAGTCCAACCTGAGAACATACTCTGGCCTCTACCAATCCAGGGAGATCCACACTCTGCATTCTGTGGGAGAGGGAGGATTCAGGGATGCCAGAAAACAAGATCTGTCTCAGGTGCATAGTCATAGCACAGACATGACCAGTTTTTAGGAAATCCTGAGAAATTTGAGGACTCTGATTCTGTTTGCCCTGCATTTTATAAAAAAGGCAAATGCTTTGTTAGTGACCAATGAATAAAATGAGGAGAGAAGAAAGGAATGAAGAAAGTTTCGTTTTTTGTGTTGTCTTTTAGTTTTCATTTTTGAGATTGCACTATAATTACAGCATTTTTCTTTTCCCTTCCTTCCTTTCAGACATTTCCATAGATCCTTCTCTACTCTCCTTCAAATTCAGGACATCTTTTTCATTGTTAACATATGTGCATATGAAGATGCATGTAAAACATTTTAAACATTTTTACCCTGAATATATACCTTCTGTCAATTATATCTCAATAAAGCTGAAATTTGAATGATGAAGTCACCTTAATATAATGTAGCATGAACCAGAATAATTCAGAAC